CCCTATAGTCCCCGTCCCCTCCCTATAACTCGGCGACCTATAGATTATTTAGGGATATACCGAGCTACGTATAACCCTATACTAGAGCGTCGCTAAGTTGATATATACTAAACTATATATTATTCGCCTTAAGGTTGTTCGCCTTAAGGTTATTCGCCTTAAGGTTGTTCGCCTTAAAGTTGTCCGCCTTAAAGTTATTCGCCTTAAGGTTGTCCCGCACTATTAGAGGTTTCCGGCTTTCGGGATCTACCGGATAGGCTTAGCTATCTATACTACCCGGTAAGCTAGACAGATTGCCGAGTAAATTGTAAAAGTCATTCTCCGATAGTAGCGCCCCTAGTGTTAATCGACCTAGTAGTTGATTCGTTAGTGACTAACTATTAGCTTTAAGGATATATTACCTATTAGTGACGAGCAATTTTTATAATAATGCCTTTTCGAACGCCCTATTTATTTCGGGTTATTTCGTCGTTTAGTACTATTAGAGCCGTGGCCGTTATATGGATCTACTAGGGTTAGGCTATATAGTCTTCGTCCACGTCGGTTGCTACCGGTAGTGGCTCCGGGTGTCACGCTTAGCCGATAGCGCCTTTTCGACGAAGTTTTAGGTGGACCGTTTTTCCGTTTCTTATTTAGCCCGGTGTCGTTTAGCCCGGTATTATTTGGCCCGGTGTCATTTAGCCCGGTGTCGTTTGGCCTAGTGTCGTTTGGCCTAGCGTCGTTTGGCTCGGTGTCGTTTGGCCCGGTGTCGTTTGGCCCGGTGTCGTTTGGCCCGGTGTCGTTTGGCCTAGTGTCGTTTGGCCTAGCGTCGTTTGGCTCGGTGTTGGTTGGCCCGGTATCGTTTGGCCTAGTGTCGTTTGGCCTAGCGTCGTTTAGCTCGGTGTCGTTTAGCCCGGTGTCATTTAGCCCGGTGTCGTTTGGCCCGGTGTCGTTTAGCCTAGTGTCGTTTAGCCTGGCGTCGTTTAGCTCGGTGTTAGTTAGCTCGGGGTCGTTTAGATTAGTGTCATTTAGATTAGTGTTAGCTAGCACGGTAAGAAATTTTTTAAGACTAGAAAGGTCAAGTTTATTATAATCACGAAGCTTATATCCTAGGCATTCACAAATCTTTTCGAGCCTATAATAAGAAATATTAACTAAGATATATAAGACGCTTTAAGCGGGTGGTATACGGTACTAGATCTCTAAAAATTGTTCGTATAATAGAAGGGATTACGAGGGGCACTAATATCGTTTAAGTATCCTCTAGATTAAACTCTATCTTTAGCCTTATTATTAAGTTATCGGGTATAATAGAGTAGT